CCCACCCATTGGTCAGCCGCTGGGCCCTGAGCCAATCGCAATATTGAAGAGGGGCCTCCATATGCTTCCAGCAATGGTGGGGAAGCCGCTTCTCCCCGCACTGCCAAGCTCCGTTCAGCCCCGGGGAGAGGCGCCGGTTTCTCATCTCTTCCCTCCCACAGTACCTTACAACCTTCTCCTGGAGGAAAGGTTATCCCATGGAAAGTTTGTGGTAGGTCTTATAGTGTCCAAGTTATTAGACCACAAACATACAAACATTCTCCTAGGTATAATTTATTATTTAATGGATAACAAAAGTAGAAAGATAAAGATAAAAATGTGAGAAAATGAGTTAAGATTCCATGAATTCCTGTTTCTTTTTAACCAGGATGCTAATATTCTCTCTCATTTATCTTGATGGAATTATTGTACATTGCTGTAGTCTTAAAATAATGTTTAAATATCAATTTGAATCTATTCTCCCTTTTTTAGAGCAACACGTAAACACAATGGGACAAATACTGCTGTTACTGATGCTTTCCATTCCCTCATTATGTCTCACTGATGGAGCTGAAACAGAACAAGATTTCACCTGGCACTTGAAAAAGGTACCCCAGATCGTGAGTGAAAGGACTTTTCCCCTTGACAGCCCTAAATTTGAGGCAAATGCCAAATTAGAGCTGAGTAATGTTTGCGGAATTGAATGTCAAAGGAAACTCCCAGGGCCAAGCTTGTCTGAGCTGAAGGAATTTCTCTCCTATGAGACTGTTTTTGAGAATGGCACACGGATCCTGACTCATGTGAATGTTGTAGGGCTAGCAGTCGACATGGCCAAGAACATTACCACAAGAACCTTCTCAAGAAGAAAGAGGCAGATATACGGCACAGACAGTAGATTCAGCATTTCTGACAAGCGGTTTATGACCAACTTCCCTTTCAGCACAGCGGTGAAGATTTCCACAGGCTGCAGTGGCATTCTTATTTCCCCCAAGCATGTTCTAACAGCTGCTCACTGTATTCATAATGGCAAAGATTACATCAAGGGCAGCAAAAAGCTGAGAGTGGGATTGCTGAAGATGAGATCTAAAGGTGATGGCAAGAAACGCAGAGGTGCTCAAAGGAGTAAAAGAGATATGTCGGTAGCAAGAGAGCAGACTGGGAGTGCCACAGAATTGAAGAAGAGATCCAAAGGACGTGGAAGAAAGCAAAAGGCAACAGGGAGGAGTCAGAGAACTCCAGATAGTAAACCTTCCTTCCAGTGGACCAGAGTAAAGAGTACCCAGATCCCAAAAGGCTGGTTTGAAAGTGTAACTGGGGATGTTTCCCTGGATTATGATTATGCTGTCCTTGAGCTCAAGCGTCCCCAGAAAAAAAAATATATGGAGCTGGGAATTAGTCCAACAATCAGAAAGATGCCTGGTAGCATGATCCATTTTTCTGGTTTTGACAATGATAGATCTGGGCAGTTGGTCTATCGATTTTGTAGCGTGTCTGATGAATCCAGTGATCTCTTTTACCAGTACTGTGATGCTGAGCCTGGCTCTGTTGGATCTGGAGTCTATCTCCGCCTTAAAGAACCAAACAAGAAGAAATGGAAACGCAAGATCATTGCTGTTTATTCAGGTCATCAGTGGGTGGATGTCAATGGTGTGCAGCAGGATTATAATGTAGCCGTACGAATTACTCCTCTCAAATACGCCCAGATTTGTTTCTGGATACATGGGAATGATGAGAATTGTACACAAGGCTGATAAAAGCTTAAACTAGATCATCTAGCACCAACAATAGAGTTAAAAACTTGCCCCAATAGTTATTGGATAAGCATTACCCCATATCAGGAATTACTTGAATTTGAAGCCTGCAATATTTTGATGCATTGCGTATTGCTATTCTTAGAGGGTTAGTAGAATTTTAAAATTAATTTTTAATTATATAATAATCAAACCATGACATGCACTTATAATCCAAAACTGTATTTATGTTCAAAATTTTGAAAAATTCAAATGGTTTGCATTAGAAAAATTGTGACTTTACTGGTTTAATTTTTTTTAAAGGGAAGTATTGAAACTTCTCAATTTGGTACTATTAAACAAGGTGTAGGTTTTTTAAACTACAGTTGACTTGTTCTTCTCAGGGTTCTGCTCCAACATTTATCTTCTAGTATACAAGTTACATGTGTTATTAAAAAACATGTACAGAATTATACAAATTGTGAAAAATTGGGGTAAGACCAAACAAAGTAAGGTTAGTTTACTCTACAGAGCATGTGTACTCTGAGAGATGGCTTTCTAGTTCATATTTGTCAGCTTGGAAATTTTTTTGGGGGTGCCTTGAGAGCATGTGTACTCTGAAATATGGCTTTCTAGTTCATATTTGTTAGCTTGGAAATTTTTTTGGGGGTGCCTTACAAACTCTCCCATGGAAATTCTAAATTACTATAGCTGATAATGAAGTCTTACAACAACGAATTTCATTGCATGTTAAAATAGAGTCTAATGAATGTAGCAGGTCTGTTTGGAATAAAGAACCACCATAAGGGTTTAATTTTATATATAAGTCTGATTTGAGAAGGTACACAAAACTAGGGAATCTTAAACATGTACATTTTAATATTTAGAGACAAGTAGGTTTACTGTATAATAAAATATTCAAATTTTCCGATAGGTGAAGTATTCTATAGTTGCCTTTGTCAGGAAGGGTATGTCTACACTGCACAGTTTTTTTCGGAAAAACAGTTGTTTTTCCAAAAAAAACTTCACTTATGTCCACACTGCAATTATGTCCTTTCAAAAATAAAAACCGAAAGAACAAAGGGGTTTTTCCGACATTGGTAAATCTCTTTCTATGAGGAAGAAGCCTTTTTCCGAAAGAATTCTTTTGGAAAAAGGCATGTGTGGAAGAGGAAGAGGGAGTTCTTTTGAAAGAAGAGGAAAGAGATAAAAGCATAGGTGCCCTAGTGGCCACTCCATCCATAGGAATCGCAGCTTAAATGTGCGACTGCTTTTTTGATGCGCTTTTGCTGTGTAGACGTTTTCTTTTGGAATATGTTTTTTCAGAAGATTTCTTCCAAAAGAAGCCTAGACATAGCCAAAGTGGCTATTTGCCAACAGTTTAAAGATTCAAAAAAAGGTTTCTGGGTGCTAAACATTTTAACATTTTTGTAACAACTCTTATAAGAGATCAGCTGTTGTAGATAAACCTGTAGCCTATCAGGCAGAATAAGAAAGGAATGTTCTTTTTCATACAATTCTGGAACCTGGGTAGTTCTAATCCCATCCTATTCAATACGTAACCTTATAAACATGAGTTAAAGGGAGAGAAGATAATCCTCCAGTTCTAAGTCATCTTATGCCATCTAATGAGATGGTAGATGAGCTATCTTGTACATGGAATAGATATCTTATTAGTTAATAATCATGCTAATAAGAGAATTTGGCTCATTTCTGCTACTGGACCACAAAAATTAATACAGAGTATTTCTATAAAGTGAGAAATTATTTATCATTTGTGTACAAGTATCTCTAACTTTGTTGTCAGTTGTGCTCAGTTGCTTCACATATAATCTAATCTTGTGCATTTCAAAGTCTCCGTGTAACAAATGAGACTTTCAGGATGCAAATTTAATCTAACCACATAAAATTTAAATGCATATTTCAAGCTATATGCATTTGTCTATTACTGTTACAGTTATTCAGTATTTCATTATTTAATGTACTGTGATTGTTCGCTTGCATCAAATTTCATTTTCTTTACCAGTCTAGAAGAAAATATAACAAGTTTTCAGGATTTTTTTGGCTTTCTGCATTTTTATAATTATATGTCATATTGTACATTTATTCTAGTAATAGGTTTTGATGAAGTAGGGTTTTTAAAAATAATTGTTTGCTATTGAAGACACAAAATCTGGCACTTTGATTTGCAGGTGTTGTTGCCATTGCATTTCAAAGCACAAACATTTGAGATTTCTTTGTCCATCAAACAAAATCTATTTTGAAATTTTGCAATATTTCACTGTAAATGAAGCCTCGCTCTAAATGAAACTTTTTTTTTGGTCATTTAGGCCCTGGCTCTGTAAACAGGTATATACTTTCTTTACTTTACACATGGGACTATTTGCAGAAACAGGACTGTGTTCATTAAGGTTTGGAAAATGTCTAGGTACAGTTAAAGATTAATAATACCTTATTTATTTTGTAATGTCTTTAAATATTACTCCTCCATTAAAAGTAATTTAAAATAACCTCTTTCCAGCATTTCTGCCTGCTACCTCATACCACTGTAGCACAGACCTAAAGTATTTTTTTGAATGAGCTATAATCAGGGCTGTCCTTATACATACGCAGAATATGCAGTTGCATAGGTCACCACCACAGTTGGGGTACCACTGTGCCCCAAATTAGGTAGCTCCTTATGCTTCATATGCCCAGTGCTGACTAAGAGCAGTGCTGGCTCAAGCAGCCCCAATCCCCACAGTCCTACAGCCCTCTCTCCACCTCTTGGCCCAGGTAGCCAAATCCCCAGCCTCTGCTTCACCATCCGGTTCCCAGTTCCCTTCCTCCCAGTGTTGGTGACCAAATCTTTCAGTTCCATGATCCCCACTCTGACCTCCTCCAGGACCAGGCAGCCCAAAATGTAAGTGCACTTTCCCCACCCCAGCCTCTTGCTCCACCTCCCAGCCCTAGCAGCCTAATCTCCCAGCCCTCTGCTCTGCCTCTCAGCCTGATGGCTGCATCTCCCAACCCTCCACCTCCTGGTTATGGTGCCTCTAAACCTCTGGGCCCCTGCTTCACCTACCAGCACCAGTGGCCCCAATCTTCCACCTCCTGGCTCCACCTTCCAGCCCACAGCTCTGGTGGGTAACATTGCTCCCCATTCTGCCTGTTCCCCTACCAGCCTCCCTGCCCTGTTCCTGCCCCCACAGTCTTGAGCACAGCCCCTTCCCCTGCCACTGCAGGCTTGCTGCTCTGCTCCCCAGTGGGGGATGGGGAGTGCAGGTGGCCAACTGTGCAGGGCACTAAGTCATAAGGATGGTCATGGGTATAATGTTTTTCTTAAGTTACACTTTCTACACTTATTCTAGCAAAATTAAATGCCAGATCCTCATCTTGTGTAAATCAGCATAGCTTCATTGTTTTAATGCAGTTATACTGGCTTCTGATCTGGCTATAAATCCATCATAATTTTAATTGGTGACTTATTCCTTATTATGGTAAGACTTAGTCTGTTTCTGTTCAGTATCATGGAAGTGACTCCCTGTTTTTGTATTGGCCTGACAATATGGAAAAAAGCATGAATGATTTACAGTGATAGTAGCAAATGTCAACTGACTGTATTTGACTAAGCTTCTGCTGCAATGCCACAACCAACTCCTTCCCCAGCTAGTATATAACAAATACATGGACAAATATAACTGCAGTACCCAGAAAAAAAAATGAAGCAAATCAAGCCTTCAGTTTGCCATCACCTAAAGATAATTAGGGGTTAAGTAAAATTCAACATGGATGTCAAAAACGAATCATGTCAATACAATTTAATAGCGTTCATTGACAAACCTTGTTGGGGGGGGGGGAGGATGTTGTATATCTTGACTTCAGTAAGGAACAATTTAATAGCATTCATTGACAAACCTTGTTGGGGGGGCGGAGGAAGTAGTAGATGTTGTATATCTTGACTTCAGTAAGGCTTTCAGTACTATCTCACATGATCTCACATTATGGAAATATAGCCTAGATGTAGCTGCTATGAGGTTATGATCTCACATTATGGAAATACAGTATAGCCTAGATGTAGCTGCTATGAGGTGGTTGCATAAGTAGTTGGAGAAACATTTCTAGAGAGCAATTTATCAGTGGTTCACAGTCAATCTGCAAGGATTAGTCCTGTTCAATATCTTCATAAATATGTTAGATAATGTCATAGAGAGAATACTTACAAAGTTTGTGGATGATACCAAGCTGGGAGGTTGTAAGTGCTTTGAAGGATAGGATTAAAGTTCAAAAAGATCAGGACAAACTGGAGAAATGGCCTGAAGTAAATAGGATGAAACTCAGTAAGGAAAATGCAAAGTACTACACATATAAAAGGGGAATCACTGCCTAAGCAATAGAACTTCAAAGAGGGATCTCTGGATTATAGTGAATCACAAACTCAGTCAGTCAGAATTGTAACACTGTTGCAAAAAAGCAAATATTCTGAGATATATTAACAGGAATGTTGTGAGCAAGATATGAGAAGTAATTCTTCCTCTCAATTCTGTGCTGATGTAATGTCTAATCAAATATCATGTTCAGTTCTGAGTGCCATGCTTCAGGAAAAAGGTGGACAAATTGGAAAAAAAAGTCCAGAGGAGAACAAATTATTAAAGATTAGAAAACCAGAGTTATGAGAAAAGATTGGGGGGAAAAGGTTTGTTTAGTATGGATAAGAGAAAACTAAGGAGGACAAAACAGTTTAAGTTTAATAGGTTGTTAAAAAGAGGAGGGCAAAAATTGTTCTTGTGAACCTCTGAGGATAAGATAAAAATGGGCTTAAATTACAGCAAGAGAGTTTTAGGTTGAACATTAGGAAAAACTTCCTGACTGTCAGAATAGTTAAGCACTAGAACAAATGGTCTAGGAAAGTTATTGAATTTCTATCACTGGAGGTTTTAATTAACAGGTCAGTCACCTATTAGGAATGATCTTGTTATTACTTAGTTCTGTCTTGAGTGCAGGTGATTGTACTAGATGATCTATTGAGATCTCTTCCAGTCTTACATTGCTATGGTTCCATCTACAGTATCAATGCATATTATCTATAGACATAAGTAAATGCTTACAGGACAAATGTGGAAATTCATCAAAACAAACTTAATATGTTCACTTCAAGGTTTGGTGTGAGAAGGTATAATTTCACGGAAGCCAAAGTTAAATTGAATGTAGAAATGAATGTAATCCATGATAGTCCATGTCACTAAGACACGATAGCTGTAGATATTAAAAATATTTTTTCTGGTGTAACCCAATATAAAACATTCATAAGCGTCATGGGCACATGAGATAATCAAGTGCTTTACCTAAGGAGTGTTGCTGCTCACTTACAGCATTTCTGAAATATTTCACAAATCAATTTTCACATTTGAGATTGTGGATATCAAAGGTCAATGCAGTACCCATAGCAATTGCCACACTATGATGGCAAATAAAATAAGTAGCCCATATTATAATTTAAAAATTCTCAAATCAAAATTGATGACTGATAGTATATAGAGCAGATCTGAATTTGGGACTAAGTGGGTGCAACAAATTTGACTTTGACCATAATTCTCAAGACTCCAACTGGGAC